GTTGATGAGAAAGGTTAAGAACTGAGACCACATAGCTAGTAAGTAGTAGCTATAATCTCTTGGTGTGTGACTCTTAAGAATGCACATGTTCTGCATTGTTACATGGACTCCTAGCATCAATAAAAGAATTTTGGAATATTGCAAAACATAGGACACCTCTTGTCAGTATGTGAAAATGTGTACACAAGTCAACTTCAAAGAGAGCATACACTGATTAGAACTATAACATTGATTTAAATTATAATAAAGAACATCAATGATGGGAGAGACTTCTATATACATATTTTGAAGTATAAAGACTTAAAAAAAAAGTGTGTGTAATCAATGTGATGATTCCCCTGAGACTACTATAGAGTTTCAACCCTTCTAAGCCATGCAATTCCTTTTGGCCAATATCACCGAAAAGCCCACAAAGGTCACATTAATTTCTTTTATAAAGCATGAACTTATTACTTTTTAAAAAGTAACTTGTGTGCCTAACAATAAAAAACATTTACTAAGGAAAACTGAGAAAGCTGATATATGTTAATTATTTGTTCTTATTTTTTAGAACACATATTCCCTAGGACATATAATAAGATCATGTCTGGGTTCTGCCCAGAATTGGCTGGCATATGCATATCCTATGGGATTTGTCTTTTTTCCTTTAGAAATAACTCTCACACAAGGAAATGAACTTTGGAAGAAGGTGGTTGTAAGATAAATTGTACTGGGTTAGTTCTAATATTTACTGTACAGATGATTTTCATTCTACATACATTTTTATGATCTTCATAGAGTGACTAGAGAATCTAGTTCTACATTTGGGAGGGGCGATTCCTTATAGACCAACTATTGAAAAGTTTAAGTAAATATACATGTGGAGATTTATATTCAGTTTTGGATTTCAATTAATCCTGTTTTGTGGTTGTTTTATATTTCATTAAACAATATACCAGATTAATATAAAACTTATACACACAATAAAAATCTTTATCATTTGGAATTTAAATAATAGGATATTAAGCATTACTTTTTATATCTGGAGGCTATAGACTTAATATCTAAAAAGCAGTGACTTGAAATCAGTAATATTCATCAAGAATTATATTGGGAAATTAAACCTGGGAGATCATGGGCCATGGCTCTCTCTTACAAATCAAATGGGAAAAGAAAAATTAAAAAAAAATAATAGAAAGCTCAGTTTTAATATAGTTTTTCTATACTGAGACATTTTTAAAAAAAATCTTTTCCCCAGTTCTAGTTGTTTCCCAGTTCAATTCATTTTTTGACATTTTTTGAAGGCTCACTTACAATGAAGTCACAATAAGTATAAATTCCATGAAGCTAGATACTCTCATTCATTTTGCATCCTTAGTGCCTCATATTAAGCAGTAGGCAAGTATGCTTTAAAAGTAGAAATGAATAAATAGATAATAGTACAAAAATTTCATATATAATTCCAAAGAGCAAGAAGATTAGTTTATTCTAATGAATATTTCTAGAGCATATATGTACTTCTATTCAAAATTCTTCCTGTTTTATTTTAATGTGTAAAAATAATATAACTATTAATAAATAATGTAAATTTATTTAGTTAAAAACCTTTAAAATTAAGGCTAAATATCTTCCAAGATGGCAGCAGTGTAGGTGAAAGTTACACTCACCTTCTCCCAGGGCCAAAGCAAAATTATGGAATAATTAAATTATGGAACAATCAACCTGAATAACCAACTAAAGACTAGCTGAACCTTTGTCTTTTAGCCAAGGATTTACAGAAGAAGCCACATTGAGACTCATTGGAAGGGTGGACACTGAAAAGAACCAGACTGACAGCCACATGGGGCCCTTAGGAATCTGAAGGAATAGTTCAGCTGCTAAGGTCCGCCCTGAGGAACAAGAATTCTCCATCATGATCCCCAGCCAGAAGAGCCAGAGAAGAGGAGCCCATGTAACATCTGGCCTTGGAAATCAGTAAGGATTTGTTTGCCAGGGAATGACAGGCTGCTGCTAGAAAATTAGGCGCCCTCTTAAAGGGCCAGCACACAAAATCTCACCCATGACCACTTATCCTGAACATCATAAAGGGAAAGCAGATCAAAGCAAACTGGAGTCTCAGGCAGGGAGGGACTGGGTAGTGTGGCTTTATGGAGAAGGCTATTGAAACAGCAGCTAAAGTTCTAGGCTGACGCCCTCTTCTTCACCACCCAGTGGTGCCATCTTTACTGGGTAGAGCATCATATGACATCAGACTGGAAACTGACTTGGCTTCACCCTTCTGACTCTCTGTGGTTCTTCTCTTCCCAGCTTACACTCTGTGTGGGAGTCTGCATGCTGTAGCCATTTGGAGCCCAGAGTAAAGACATTCATGGAGGACTCTTGAGGAGGTCTGGGCAAATTCTGGGACTGTCAGAAACTGAATTGTGTGGTTCTAGGTTGAGGGCCTTTTTTTTCTCTTGCCCACCTAATGGTGCCACCATTCCTATGTAAAGCCCTTCCTCCACATGGACAAATCTTGGTGGGTGTTAGCCTGATGAATACTGCTGGCCCACCATGATGACTCCCTAAGACTCAGCCTTACCACAAAGATCCTTGGGTTTCTGGCAGGTGGTAGATGGCCCTGGTGTACTCTGGGACAATTGCTGAATGGCCTTAGACCCAGCACTAGCATGAAGTTTGAATCTGTATCAACCTGGTAAAGACCACTGGCCTCTACATAGTGACTCACTAAGAAACTACCTCATAGAACTTACATAACACAAGAAACTCTTTTAAGACTGAGTCTAACAGGTGTCTGTCAAACAGAGGTGGATTTCAGGGTGCCTCAGGCCTTCTGCTGACCTGACCTGGACTCAATGCTAATGTAAGTCAGCCATGGTCTGAATCCTGGCCCCTCCCATGTACACCCAGGCCTGGCAGAAGTAGCCAAAATTTGTGGATTACTTTGGAGCTTCTAACAGGTAGCCCAGGGCCAGTCACAGGCAGTATCTGACACTGACCTCCACTAGATTCCCTCCCAAGAAGCTCCAGTACCAACACATCTACCTTTTGGTTAGCTTCAGACCACATCAGAGCATGACACAATTAGCTCCATAAGAGACACATCCCAAGGGAAAATCATGCACCAGACACCCCTGGGGGTAATTTTATTTTATGAGATCAGCCATTGCAAAGCAGTTTGTACACTGTGGTCCAAGTCAATCTTCGCTTTCAGTGAGCCAAGAGTCAATTCACAAACAGGCCAACAAAAATCAAGACACAACTACCACGAGCAAGCTCACATAACCCACACAAAAAGCATTTCTGAAGCACATAGCTCAGGTGACCAGGGAGGCTATGCAAATGAGCCCCACAGGATACCTACAATATAAGGGCACCATATCAAGCCTGGGAAACATACCAGATCTACCTAATACACAAATACCTAGAGACAGCCAAAATGGGGAGACAAATAAGCATACCCCAAATGAAATAACAGGAGAAAATTCCAGAAAATGAACTAAATGAAATGAGGCAGGCACTCTACAAGATACAGAGTTGGAAAAATTTACTGTAAGGATTTTCAAGGAATTTAGGGGAATAATGGATGAGCTTAGAGAAAGTTAAAGAGATAGTAAGCATCAAAAGGGACACAAAAAACATAAAAAAGAAATAAATAATACAATTGAAAAACTCAACAGCAGATGAGTTGAAGCAGAAAACTGAATCAGTAAGTTGTAAGACAAGGCAGTAGAAAACACCTAATCAGAGCAGCAAAAAAGATAAAGATTTTTTTTAAAAGTAAGGGTATTTTTAAAAAATATATATTTTATTGATTTTTTTACAGAGAAGAGGAGAGAGGGATAGAGAGTTAGAAACATCGATGAGAGAGAATCATCGATTAGCTGCCTCTTGCACACCCACTACTGGGGATGTGCCCACAACCACAGTACATGCCCTTAACCAGAATCGAACCTGGGACATTTCTGTTCGCAGGGCTACGCTCTATCCATTGAGCCAAAGCAGTTTCGGCTAAAGTAAGGGTATTTTAAGGGATCTCTGGGACACCATAAAGAGTAACAACATTTGCAAAATAGGAGTATCAAAAGAAGAAGCAAGAGAGCAAGGGATTGAGAACAATGGTTTTCCTAACCTAGTGAAGATAAAATACACACAAGTCCATGAAACAAAGACAGTCCTAAACAATATGAACTCAAAGAGGCACACACCAAAACAGATCATAATTAAAATGGCAGAGGTCTAAGACAAAACCCAGCCATAGAGGAGGTGAGGAAGGATATTGAGTAAAAATATTAAGGGAATCAAAAAGTGCAAATGGATAGTCACAGCATAGATAATATAGTCAATAATAACTATGTATGTATGGTGCCAGATGGGGACTGAAAATATCTGGGGAAAGGGGAACACTTTAACTTATATAACTGTCTAATCACTATGCTGTATATCTGAAACTTAAGAAAAATACATTTTAAATGGTTATCATAAAAAGACTAAGTATAGGTTGTTTATATTAACAAAAGCCAAATAACTCCAGAATTAATTTTGGCTTATTGTCAGTAAAGTGGTAAGAGTCTAGGTTCCAGTATGTTCAATGGACCCATAATTCTTTCAGTGGTTATTGAGTACTCTGCTTGGGAAGGACTGTGCTTAATTCTCAGCTGGGGGAAATCTGTTATCATTGAAAAAAGAAAATATTTTCATTTTTTACACTTTATAACAAAGATCTTTCCATGCCCCCCCCCTTAAAAAAAGCTAAATTTCTTAACATATATTAGTTAGAGGTTATTTTCATTTCCTATATTGATGCATATCTGAAATGAGTATTGACATAAATTGTTATATTTTATTATGCATAATTACTGTGCATAACTAATTATTACAAATTAATGAATTAAGACACTTCTTTTCTTAAGTGAATTTGTATTTGGAATTTTTACTATCAAAATGTCAACTTCCGTTTTTTGAATACTTTAAAGAAAAACACTTCATTATATATTTTCATGAGAAGCCATTATACATACATGCCATTCCACATTGTCATCTTCTTTCCCGAGAGTTAGCAACATGGTGAGTGGATTTCCGGTGATGCCAGAGTCACTCTCCGGGGATGGGTGTCCATGCTGTACCACAAGTGCACTGCTTTGCGTTGAAGTGTGGGACTGTTTAATAGTCTGATTGAGGATATGGTGGTCAAGGGTCATGGAGGATTTTACTTGATGTCTGGCAGGACTTTCCAGATGTGTGGGGACCTACAAAATATAAAACAAGCAATTGCTATGTGTAGTACCATCTGGCATTTCAAAGTTCCATTCTCAATCATTGAGTTACTAAGGGCCAATGCATGACATTCGTGCCCGAGTAGGCCCTTGCCGCACCAGCTTCACCTTGAAGATCATCCAGAAGGTCATCCAGATGATTGTCCCACTGTTCAGCCATTCACTCAATTTTCATACTGCACTTTTATTATTATAGACAGCAATAAACACACTATAAGATCTAGTTTCTCTCAAATTTATAGTTCAAAGTTTACTAAAATATTTTAAATGCTAACCATGTTTTTAAGAATAACCCTCAAAATTACATGCAAATAAAACAAAATTTGGAATCAATATATAACTAGAAATACTTTTTAAAGGTCTCAAAAAGAAAGGTTGAAATAATACAAGGAAAGTGCAGTTGATTCATTATTATTAGTGATTTTTGTATTTCATTAGCTTTCTTGACATTACAAATATACTGTAAATATTCTACCCTATATAACAAAAGGCTAATATGCAAATTGACCAAATGGCTGAATTTCTATGATGACCAGGGTGCAGATGCTCAACATAGGAGCTGCCCCCTGGTGGTCAGTGTGCTCCCAAAGAGGAAGTGACGCTCAGCCAGAACCCAGGCTCACAGCTGGTGAGGGCAGGGGCAGTGGCGGGAGCCTCTCCCATCTCTGTGGCAGTGCTAAGCTGTCAGATGGACATCTCCTGTGGTCTCCTGAACTGTGAAAGGGTACAGGTCAGGCTGAGGGACGCACCCCACCCCCAAGTGCATAAATCTCCTGCATTGGGCCTCTAGGATGATATAATTACTATCTTTTATTTAATTTTTTTAAATTACCCAGGGAGGAGCAAAATTAAGAATATAAATATTAAGTGTGGTATTTTATGGGAGGTGAAAATCTAGGTAATTATTTTCACTTTTCTATATTTTCCAGTTTCTATACAGGGCGTGTTTTAATTTTTTAATACTCCTATTTTTAAACCCATCCATATTTCCACTTTATAAAAACAAAATTTTGGTAGAATCATTATGAATGACATAAAAAATGGTCCAATATTTTGAAACTCTTTTTTCAAATCACAGACTTAATATTCTGAGCATCTTCAGTCTAGCTGTCATAGTTAACAACATGCCATTATTTGTATGAGGACAACTTTAAGCATTTCAAGCTTTCCTCTTAAAAGCCTCTGAAAGCCTGCCAGCCCCCTTTATATTAACTAAGCTGTGGTGTGGATACATTTTCCTCAAGTGGCCTATTACAGACCTAATTAATATTTTCCTCATGTTAAACAACAGTAAAGATGGCTGCACAGTGCTTATTTTTTGTTTATTTCAGTTACACAAACTACTCCTTAAAGCCCTTAATATGCATTAACTCAGATAAATAGTATTTATGAAGCATTTTGCATTTAAATTAGCTGGTTTGGGGTTCCATATTGTAGTAGTTACTTCAGTTTAATTTTGTTATGCTGACATTTTTAGCATTATTTTAATTGTACTGCCATACAATAATTTTCAGTCATATAACAAAAGATTAAGATTGGTAATAAAGATTTTACATGTTACTAATTATATTACTACGAACTTTAAATTTGTACTGGTAAAATAACACTGCATTAAAATGCCATGGGTAATTTTTTAGGGTGGCTATTTAGATTATTCTATTAGTTTTAAGTTTATTCTTCTTCATTTATATGCATTTATGAAATATACATTATAAATACTATTTTCATATTCACAAGTCTGAATCTCTTACACAATGAAACTAAATGTAAGAGTTCATTGTATATCTACAAATGAAAAATATCTCTTCTAACAAAAAGTATGTTGAGCCGAAACCGGTTTGGCTCAATGGATAGAGTATCGGTCTGCGGACTGAAAGGTCCCAAGTTCGATTCTGGTCAAGGTCATGTACCTTGGTTGTGGGCACATCCCCAGTAGGGGGTGTGCATGGTGTGCAGGAGGCAGCTGATCGATGATTCTCTCTCATCGAAGTTTCTAACTCTCTATCCCTCTCTCTTCCTCTCTGTAAAAAATCAATAATATATATATATTAAGTATGTTGAATCAGAACTTATAATATTAACTAATTCATTTTTCACTTCTCATCCACTTTTCTCCTAGGAAAGCTTCATTAGAGTACTGGAATCTGTGTTACATCAGGAGTACAAGAGAACTTATAGACATTACCCCAGAGCCCTAGGAGTTTTCCATCTAAGACACTATTAATATCAACTACAGCAAAAGAAATAATAATGTCAATAATATGCAATAGTTACCAGTCACTGTGCTAAGCAATTTCTCTACATCCATATAATCCTTGGTAGAACCTTAGGAGACAGGTATTAATATCTCCATTGCGGCATGTAAATGAAGCCACCAAGACTTAGAGATAAAGTGACTGCATGTTATCACTCCTCAAGTTAGGGATGAAGCCAGAATACAGACCCTGCCTTCTTAAACATTACACTTATTGGTTCAGTAATGTAAACAACAAATTTAAAATGCCACACAAAGAAGTGGCTTTAAAAAAAACTAATTAAAAGATAAAATGGTTATAAATCAGGTGTTGGAAGGAGATGGTCTCCTTAAAGAAGAAAAAGGACATCTCAAATGCAAAATATAAAAGTGAAACAATAAAAGACATTGGAAATCACAAAGTTAGTCGTGAAAAGGAGCTTATAGAAATACCTTCCATTGAAACCGGTTTGGCTCAGTGGTAGAGCATCAGTCTGAGGACTGAAAGGTCCCGGGTTCAATTCTGGTCAAGGGCATGTACCTTGGTTGCAGGCAGCTGGTCGATGTTTCTCTCTCATCGACATTTCTAGCTCTCTCTCTCTCCCTTCCTCTCTGTAAAAAATCAATAAAATATATTTTTTTAAAAATACCTTCCTTTCCCATCTACCATCTCCTTTTTAGACCACTCTATAGAGAGAGAAAATAAAATATAAAATGGAAACAACTCTTATTCTGCCTAAATTAATGATTATTTAAGGAATTCCAAATGTTTAGCAGGCAAACGTGAAGAATAACTTGGACCCAATCTATGCAACACCTGTAAACAAAACAGAAGAGTCTAAAAGCTCAGTAAAGTAGAAAAGGAATCAATGGAATGTAATTAAGCTACTGCCCAGAAAAATCTCTATATTTTTTAATCATGAACTGATATCAGAACAATGATGCAGCCCAGGATCCCTCAGTCCACAGGCTGACTCTCTATCCTCTGAGTCAAACCAGATAGGGCCACAATCGAGGAAATAGAGTCTCTTAATTAACAAGGCTAAGTGTAAAACATCAGTTAAATCATATGTGCCAATATTAAAATAATTTTACATTGCCTGGGATCTAAAGATACAACTATGAAACTATGTATTAGAGCTGTTTTACTGAAGGTACCAGTATTTGTTTGGATGAAGTGAATGAAACTATAGGTTGCCATTGTTTATTTATTCACTTATGTAAAAAACTAGAGGCCCAGTGCATGAATTCATGCACAGGTGAGGTCTGGCCAGCCCAGCCCAGCCCTAGTCAGGGTGGATCAGGGCCAGGCCTATTGGGAGGAAGAGACAGCAGGAGGTTGGCCAGCTAGTCCACCCCAATGGGGGCCTGATCAGGGTCAGGCCGGCTGGAGGGAGGGGCCGTGGGCAATTGGCTGGTGGGCCCCACCCCTGATCAGGATGGGGACCAATTGGGAGGGGCTGTGGGTGGTGGGCCAGTTGACCCCACTCCAGAATAGGGGGGGTACTGATCGGGGATGGAGCTGGCTGAGGGGAGAGGCCATAGGCAGTTGGCTGGCCAGCCCTCTCCCCTATTGGGATTGGGGGAGCTGATCAGGAGTGGGGCTGATGAGGGTGGGGTGGGTAGGATTTCAGTTTGATGGGGTGGTGGAGCCCATCAGGGGTGGGCCTACTTGGTGGAAAGTCCATGGGGGTTGGCCAGCCACCCAGCCCTTGACTGAGCTGGGAGAGTCCAATCAAGGGCAGGGCCGGCTGTGGGGAGGGGCCACAGGATGTTGGCTGGCTGGCCCCACCCCCTGATTAGGCTGGTTCATTGGGTACAGTGGTTGTCATAGCAATCAGTTGTTCTGGTCGTTATGGCGTTCCACTTGCTGGCTTTTTATATATAGATATGTTTTCTGCCCTCGCCCAGTAGCTCAGTTGGTTAGAGTGTTGTCCCAATACACCAAGTTTGCAGGTTCATTCCCCAGACACAGGGCACATACAAGAATCAACAAATGAATATATAAATAAGTAAAATAAAAAATCTCTCTCTCTCTTTCAAATCAATAATTTTTTTAATGTTAAGAAACATGTTTTCAGTCTCCAGAATGTGTGTACAAAATGGTACACTGAAGGTAGAAAGGAGATAGTTGCAGTGTCTGCCTTCAAAGACATGCAGGTTTAGACAGGAAAGAAAAATATATTATCTCTAGCACTAGCACTGTGTTTACCTTGCTGGCTGCTGTATTGTCATATTTCCTACACATAATCCAGGTAATGCCACAAAATAGGTTTTTTTTCTCTTTTGTTTTTTATATTTTTATTGATTTTAGAGAGGAAGGGAGAGAGAGAGAGATATAGAAACATTAATGATGAGAGAAATCATTGATCAGCTGCTTTCTGCACACCTCCCACTGAGGATTGAGCCCACAATCCAGGCATGTGCCCTTGACCATAAACAAACCCAGGATCCTTCAGTCCACAGGCTGACTCTCTATCCACTGAGTCAAACCAGCTAGGCCCACACAGTAGGCTTTTAAAAATATGTAAACTGCATATATTCAATGAATTATTGGATGAATGGATCAGCAAAGTAGAGTGAATGATTAACTTTAGTGACATTAGAGAGCTTTTGGAATCCACAACATAAACAGATAAGCCATTATCAGAATAATAGTCTTAACCTAGCAGGCTGAAGCAGCTATATATTGTGATTTGATTCATTAACCTGTGAAAGAGATTAAGACCAACTAGTTATA